GTTATATAGTGATAAAATCGTCTCGGGAGAAGCCGAGTCGTTGGCGATAAACTGATGTATGGCGGAGGATGACGTCATTTCGTGAGGCAGCTACAGAATCGAGGCTCCTTTCCTCCAGCCTCCCCTCTGCCAGGATAACCTGTTCTAGCGTCCTGTTTCATCGATCCATCCTTCGCGCCGGAACTGTCGCCATTTCTACGTGAAAACTTCAATTTTCTTTCCACGATAAAATATCGGCCAAAAATTATTTTGAAACGCATCGAACGTGACGCGAGATAATAAATCTGTTCTTACGATGACTGTAACACGTGACGCAATTCAACTACGAGTTTTTCAAAATAGATATATCTTCGTGGAAATATTCCTTGCGAATCTTTTTCCATGAGAAAAATTATAATTACCTACTCGTATTTTGTTCGTTTTACGTAACGATCTCTTTGCTGCTTTCGTAATATATACGTTTTACTTTTAATTTCCGCGTGGAAGCTAGATTTTTTTTCTTTTTTTGCGCGAGAATTATTGAATACACGAGAAGAAAAAAAAAATGTGAATAATCATTTGATATACTGTGTTGAGCAATTAACAACGTCATTCGTTTTTTTGCAATGTTTCACGTCGCTCTTCCTAGTTTTCCATATATCGATTTATTATCGATGTATGATATTATGTATATTTGAGAACGAGAATTTTTTCCACGTGTATCAATAACGATGACTAATTGTGTGAGTAACATCGTGCAAACACGTGACGAGAATTAAATGCTCACAATCTATCATGTTTTTTCAATAGATCGTTAACGCGTGGTTCGAAGATGATTCCAACCAATATTTAATCAAATATTTTCAAATAATTATTGGAATTATTAGCGCCGGCGTTGTTCTCGAGAGAAGAAGAAAAAAATATTCGTATTCGTAATTGGCGGTACGTTTTCAAAGACGTATTTTAATATTTATTTTTCGCACGGTTAATATTCAACGAGGGGACTCGATGACTAAGAGACGACTACATAGGCGGAAACAAATCATCAGCTCTAAATTGATATCTCGCGCATTCTACGAGATAGTCGTTGCTCTTATCTTCCTTGCACACTGAGAGTGATTCTCGTGAATCGCAAACTCGAGATATTGTATCATTTGATTCTCGATATAGCATTTTATTTCCTCTCGTAACTAGCATCTTTTCTTTATTTCCTTAAATATATATATCTTTTTCGTCGAAAATTATTTTGAACTAACAAAATTCCTTCGTTGCTCGCACGATGAAAAACCTTTGGATAAATTGATAATATGCGTACACAGAGCCGTCTATATTCGCAATGTATACCTAACTACATACCACGCATGCGCACGTAAACTACTTTTATTGTTAGCAAACTACGAAGAGTAAACTTATGTGCCACGATTATATTTTCACTGCTCTGGTAATCGATACGAAATAGTATATAATAAGTAAATAAACATGTACCGCATATATAGGTCTCTTTATATGGAATAGTTGACTTTTTCCGTTAAACCGATAAAGTTGAAATGTCGATAATCAAACGGTGACGTTTTACTCTCGCTTCGACGTATAGTCGAACGTCCTTTCGCATTCGCGAATCGTATCGGAAGAGATGTACATAATAGGTGTACATGCATACCTGCATGTGGCGTTTTAAACGCGATGCATATTGAACGACGTATAACGAACTCTGCGCGTTATCGGACGCATCCATTATATCCGTTAACGGACATTGTCTGCAGTTATGTAATATCGCCGAATTACACGCACACATATTATTTAAGGATAATATCATACATCTGCATCTAGCTCGATTTAGATATCCAAAATTATAATCCAAAACTATTTATCCATTTTTAAGATTTTAAAATAAAAAGATTTAGATAAAATATAGAACTATTTATCTATCGATTTTTCGAAACTAGTAGAGAAGAATGAGGGAGTTGAGATATTTCGGTTATATTTTTACAAGATAAAAATAATCGGTATCGTGTTTTCAATTATTATCGATCATGCTACTCTATTATTTTAATGACATCTGCGAGAATGAACAGTATAATTCTATATGAATAATATGTATTATCATTATTTTATTATCTATTTCGATTATTTAATTTTCAATAATGTTGATTTTTTTATATTAATCAGATGATATTTAAGAATATGTTGTAACAGAAGCTTTAATATAATAAATAGAATATTTTTGCAAATTATATGTGTCGATGAGAGTTATTTTAACTACTATTTGTTGTTGCAACAACTTTATTACAAATGTACAAATTGTTGCTTACAAATTATTGTCTTTTTAACAATGACTTGCTACGAAAAATCTATTACAATATATTAAATATAAAAATTTTAAAATAAAAGAAATTTAATATCAAATTAATTAAATGAAATGAATGAAATGATGAAAATGAAAATGAAAAAAACAATTATTTTCCAATCGTTTTTTTACATATTTTCTCAAAATCAAAATCTATATTAATATCGCGTCATTTACTAGAAAGTTTCCATTTTATTTTATTTTATTCGATCGTGCAAAAATCTAACGTAATTTTCGAATTATAGTAAAGCACAATGAATATCAATTGACAGCGATGCGCAAGATTATCGAATCTTCAAATAACGAAATAGTGGGTAAGACACGACGAGCGACAAGATCTTTTCAATTTCACTGGCGGAGAACGTCGTTGATGGAGATGACGGCATGCCTTGTTATGGTTGTCCGTAATAATTACGATACGTCGTGACCGGTTACTTGACCGCGACGTTTCTTCCGTCGTCTACCATCATCGTGCAGTCTACGTCGATTATGGATGTTGAAAAAAAAAAGTATTTCGCACGAACGAACGGTCGATCCCTCGTACTTCTCGAGTATTTAGTAAATTCCATCGATTGTTAGGTATACGGGAATGCACACGAAATGAATAAATTCAAAGCTTTACTTTGTCACGAATAAATTGATAAATAATGAAATGGCTAAACAAGAAAATATATTGGAACAATTTTGGATTCTAAAATTCAAACAAATACGAAAGTTGGTATGCAGAAATTAATTAATTATTTATTAAATTAAAAGCAATTGAAATTTATTGTAAAGTTCATATTTTATATATTCGCTTCGCTTCGTTTATCTTAAATTCCTTGTAACTCAATAAATAAACCTCGATCGACATTTTTACATACCAATTTTTGTATTTGTTTTTACCTTCAAAATCGAATTCCAATTCTCCATAACATACGTGATATAATGGACAATAATGTAATTGGAGGAATATATAATTGGTTCTATATATATAATTGGTTCGATAATTAATATTTCCCTTTATATATTCGCGTTTCTATTTGCAATGTCGAACATCTGTCAAGAAGAACCATTCAAGCGAAATGGTGGCCAGGAGATAGCGGAGAATGGAGAAAGAAAGGGTTCCGTGAGAGAGATCCGATGTTATAAGTGTGACAGTTGGAAAGTAGCAATGGGAATGATGTCATCGTACGAATGTCGGCAATGTTCATGCGCTGTAACGTACATTGAATGGAATCGGTATGCGATCATCAATAAAGATGAGAATAAACGAAGAAATCAATGAAAGAGATATATCGATACGTATATTTATCGTGCTTTGTTAAAAAGACAATAGAAAAATTTTGATTCATAATAGAGCATCAAAGAAACCACCACGTGTTATTAATTTATCTTAGTCCGAATCCTGTCTCGTCACTTTCAAAAATAATTCCTGCCCGACCTGACCGACCGAGCAACGTATCAAAGAACGAATTCGAATGTCGAATCGATAGCGAAAAATAATCCATCATCCTACAAATTTCCTGCAATAGTGCTCTATTCTAAAAATTCAGACTTGTAAAACGTCACGATCTACGTACAAAAGAAGAGATTATAGCAGCGAAAAAGCAGCTACAAAAAACGACGAGAGAACGACATCGCGTCAAGGTCTTTGTCGCTACCACGATCGTTAAACTAAATTACGCTTCGCCTCGTTTCGTCTCGTTTCGACGAGCGTTTCGTTCTCGAGACGAATTTCCCCACGCTTAGAAAAACCCACGGCAACGAACAATCGATCATCGCGTGAGAACGCGAGACGAACGCGGTCCGCCACCATATTTATCGGCGGTCGATCTACGGGTAAACAATCTCGAGTTTCTTATCGGGTCGAAACAATGGTGCAATCCTCGCAGCCGAGTGTAGTAAGTATAACGTTATACCAGATAACGTAGACAATGCGCTTCCGGTGTGAGTTTTGCGCACCGCCATCTACTCCACTCGTTTTCCGATCCTTCGGCCAACTAAAGTATATCGTTACACACCGATACGGGCGTGTGCAAAGAATTCCCTTTGTTGTCATTGGATCGTACGAAAACAGACGAAATTCTCTTTCTCTTCGTTGCATTGGTTGAAAAAAAATATGGAACGAGGTGACGAAAGCGTACAAGTCGATCAAATATAAGACGAGGCCGAAATTCTTCGATTACAATGGAATCGAAGCATCGTTTTCACGTGACGATGCAACAACCCGTATAGGCGGCCGTCGTGATTAGTCAGCCGGCTAACTCGCTTAAAGGCGTCGCTGTGATCGAATTAAGGTCGAACGGGAGTGGGACTTTTCTCGCCATGATTAAGTGGGTCGTTGCTAAAACGCTATTGGCCGATTAGCTTTATCCACGTTGACGGTGTCCCTTGCGTCATCATATTCGACCGGTGCTCGACCCATTTTTTTCTGGAATCGAATCGCAAAGGAAATCGATCTCGTGGACGAAACGAGCGGGAATAACGAAAGGAAAATTTTCGATCGATCTTTTCGAGAAAAAGGAAAGGTTAAGAATTTCGTAAGGCGAATAATTGCTTTAAAACGAATGGAGACGACGGATCGAAATGTACGTTTCGTTGTAAAACCGATTGGAAACGATGTCTCCCATCTCGCGGTGAGAGGATTCGTAATTCCCGATTCGTAATTTTAACGCGTTTGTCTCGTTTTCAGGACAAGAGATGAACGCCCCACCGCCGGTGTACGCATCCTCCTGTCCCGCGTTGCAGTCAAACCTGTCGCTGCACAGTTCCTCTTATTACAGCGAATATAGCGGGGCGGCAAGGAGGCGATTATCGTCGACGGGCGAGGCGGACACCTCGGCCACGTCGAGCTACGAGGGTAGCGATAGCTCTGAGAACAGCGACGAGTCTCGTCTCGAACCGGTCAATCAGATCGAGCGAGAACAACTCGAAACGTTTTTCCGGGGCTTGAAATCCCAGGTAAAGCTTTTCGCTTTCTCAAATTTTCCTCTCTCTCTCTCTCTCTCTCTCTCTCTCTCTCTCTCTCTCTCTCT